GTGAGTGAGTGAGTGTGTGAGTCATACTTTTCTTCTGTGATATTATAAGGCATAATCCTATAAATTGCTTTCTCGTCATAATTTCCTTTTCAGTGGATAAAAAAGCAAATGAAACTGTTCAAGTTCTAACTGGTTCACAAGCCAGGGGGAAACGCCTTGACAGCTAGAGGTTGATTACCTGCTCGTGGTAATTTTGTTGGAGGGCCTTACTGCCCATTTTCTACACCTACTAATATATAACCAGTTTAACTGATATGAAGCTAAATCCTGTCTGTACCTGCCAGCTGCCATTAAATGATCAGCACTTGAGAGCCTTCGGTTGGAAGAAGAAACCTAATTTTGTGTGTGTGTGCCTTCAGCCTGGCTGTCCATATGTATCTGTCGGTCCTTGTGGGCTGTGTGTGCAGCTGAGACTGATAAACAGCTCTTAGCTTCACGTCCTGTCTTCATCAGTCCATACAGAGGAGCTAGGAAACCACTTATCTACCTCGATGTCAGCTTTAGCCATTAAGGTTTAAAATCCACTAAAAAGCCTAAATAAAGCACTCTTCTCCGGGCCCCTGCAAGCTGGCAAACAGCACTAAAAAGGCGGTGAGAAAGGTGCGACCAGGCTTTATCAGTTACCATATTGCGAAATGCTTGACTGTCATGAGGAGCAAGGGCGAAATGAGGCTATGACGCTATGAATTAGCACCTTTTCCAGCTCATTTGCAGATTTAAGTTAGTATTGAGGTTAATAACGCTTCAAAAGGCTGCTAAAAGGAGAGAGGAGATGTGAGGCAAGGAAGTGAGAGAGACAGATAGATGGCATAAGTCACAGAGTCAATGTGTGAATTTTTCTGGCTGCAAAACAGACGCCGTAGAGAATAAAATTTATGTCATTATATATCAGACAAATAGTAGTTGATATATTTTCCTTGATGAAACTGACATTTTAAATTCAGAGCATGAAGTCAAATTAAACAGCTTTAGACATGAGTCATGTTAATCTAGTTTATTATTGTAGTGTACTGTTGATAGACATTTTAGTATCTGGAGGTGATTCATTATTTGTCCCACATATAATTTTGTGTGGCATCCTCCAGGGTTCAGTTTTAGGTCTGTTACTGTTCTCTTTGCTTTGTTTTAAAACACAGAGCTGCATCTAAAATCAGGCATTTCCTTCCCTTATCCTACATGGAGAAAGTTCTTGGTGTACTAATATCCTCGCAGTCTTGACTACTGCAACTCATTGCATTTGGTAATTTTCCTGATGGTATTTCCCGTCTGCAATTAGTGCAGAACGCTACTGCTGAAGTGCTGCCTGGACATACAGAAAATATTTTACATTTGTGTTTGGTTTTCCTAAGTGTAAAGCACTTTGGCACAAATTTGGTTTATTTTTAAAGCATTAAATAAATTAACTTGATCATCTATTACTTTGGGACTGTATGCGCAGTTTGTGCACATGTTTAAGGGAGTGTTTTTATCTTTTTTTGTACTTATGCTACCTCACTGTCAAAAATAGCAAACAAAATGCACAAATAGACACTCACATACACACTAGAAATATGGACTGTGTCTCTTCATCCTGGTATTAGCACATAATTGATGTGATTGCCCTAGGCTTGAAAAGAACACACACATGCCTGCTGAACAGTGCAACCTTTTGTCCCCGGTCACTTCATTCAAATAACTCGTATTCTGCTTTCCACTGACAGAGTAAACACAATAACAAGACACTCAAAGCCAAATTACCATTGCAAGTCTCAATTTATCCCCAACAGGAAGGGTAAAAACTCTTTTGAAGGGTAAAGCTATTACATACAGTGATAACATTACACTATTTCACCACAAAGATTGTGTATTTATACAGTCAATGCAAAAAAAATTTAAACCGTCAATATAGGCTTCATTATCTTTATGTCTCCATAGTAGGCAGACACTGCTTTTGAACAGTTAAGAAAGCTAACTTGGTACTACCGTTCAGCACCGACTTCTGACTGCCATTGCAGGACCCATGCCAGATGATCCACATCGCTTACTGCAGCACCATCAGTCTGTCTGTGTGTGTGTGTGTGTGTGATTCTGTTAACCAGATGGAGAAATTGGCAGCACACACTGACACTGTGCTAAGAGTAAAAGTGCCTGTCAGTCTGCACATGCCAAGTCCTACATTATGTCCCTGCTCCACGGCCCATTCACACACACACACAGACACACTGCACGAACACATGCAATTTTCTGTAACACACACCAGTAGATGTGTTAATGTGTGCAGCAGACAGCATCGTTTGTCTTCCGCAGGGAACGTGTGTGATGAGAAAAAGGAAGAAAGAGCAGATGAGAAGAAAGAAAAGATGGGAGGAGGAGAGGGAGGGACAAAATCTGGGAAACTCAAACAGGATTTTCTTTTATTTTACATTTTCTCCCACTTCTTCCATAATTTATATGTGTGCTTCATTATTTGGAGGAAAGGAAAATTAAAACCTTCAAACTGAGCTTAATAGTGGAGGTGAAATGTTGAGTCATGAGGCCATGTGGCATTCAAGGGAGCCAGAGCAGGCGAGAAGTGGGCCAGAAGAGAGCGGGAGAAAGGTGAGATACTGCAACGAGATACAAACAAGAATGTAAACAGGTGATATAAATAACTGCCAACATGCACACCGAGTTTCACACACGAGTGCACGGGCGTACACGCACACGCAT